AGATAGATAGATAGATAGATAGATAGATAGATAGATAGATAGATAGATAGATAGATAGATAGATAGACAGACAGACAGACAGATCGGTAGATAGATAGAGATATGTGACAAATAAATGTACAAAGCAATATCAATTCACTATAGGATGAAGCCTCTTCATTGGAGTTCATGGACTGTAATCTATCATTCTTGCCCAGAGTGGGTTGATGGACAGATACTTTTTGACTTCAGAATCTAAAGCTGAGAAAGAATGACTGTCCCAAAGTCAGCAAGCCAGTTTTCATGACTCAGGGAAGACAAAAACCTTAACCTCGTTATTTCTAGTCCATCGCTACAGTAGTACATCCACACTGGCTGTCACAAAATATGTAGGTGTGGGCGTGTTCTCTTATTTTTCAGATTAAATTGAAATTTATTTTTATTTGTATTTTAGTTACTTCTGTTAAGTTGAATTTAGAAGGACCTCAGTTAGTAGAATAGAAATGATTTTTCCTTGATACTCTAGAAAACTGAAGAGAATCACAAAAGACCTGGACAGATCAATCAGTGGTATAAAATAGTTATATTTTGGACAATGTGCAGTAGACCGTTTTTTCTGAGTTCGTGGTTAATAAAAGAGGGGGAGGGGAAGGATGGAGGAAGGGAGAGAGGGAAGAAGGAAGAAAGATTGTGCTACTATATCGTTTCTTCTTTGAAGCAGATTCTTTAGGAAAAACCTTCCTCGCTTATTTTGTGATTCTCTATAGGCAAAAATATACTATATCACTATCTGTGAGTTCTCCTCAAAACTAAAAACATACCTTATGCTGAAGCAGCTTATCAACATCTGGCCTGCTGACAGCTGCTTTCTGATATTTTTTTTCCAACTCTGACATTTCCTTTCACTGGGAAAAGAATATGAGCCTTTCTGCAAATCAAGTCTGCATTATGGGACAAAAACTACAGCTCTGCATACAATTTACCAAGGATTTCTCACACAACCGCTAACCATACGCATGCAGAAATCCCTTCCTCCCCACATCCTTTTCTCAATTCCAACTTCTCTCCTTCTGAGTCTTCCTCATCACCCTCTGGAGGTGTACCTGAGCCCAATAAAAATTAAACAACTTGCATTTTAATTTTGAAAAATACCTGCGGGATGATAACCGCTACCCCTTCTACCCTTAATATGTGTGCATAGATGCACTGGAAAACCTGAAGCCTAGAAAGATCCTAGAAGTTTGATCAAGAAAACATGATTTGGTTTCCTATTTGATGTTTGCAAATATGTTCAAGACATGCTAAGCGTTGCTTTTCCCTGTAATAGCTCTGTTTGTGGTCTAGTTTTTAAATAATTAGATAAAGCTTAATACAGTTAAACATTTACCCACACTATTAGGTCAATATGGTTAAATATTCACGCACCCTTTCCTTTTTACTTGCCAATAGTTCTATTGGATTTGTGTTCTGCCTGTGCTATTTTCCAACTGCTTCCTTTAAGGACAAGTCATTCCAAGTCTCCACAACGGGGAGCAATTGGTCATTCCTTATACAGAAGCAAAGTTGAGGGGCTGTCACAGAGAGGAGGGGTAAACCTAATTTCCAAAGCACCCGAAGGCCAGACAAGGAATAATGGATGGAAACTGATCAAGGAGAGATTCAACTTAGATAGGAGGAGAAATTTTCTGACAGTGAGAACAAATAACTAATGGAACAGCTTGCCTTCAGAAGTTTTCAAGAAGAGACTGGACAGCCATCTGTCAGAAATTGTATAGGGTCTCCTGCTTGAGCAGGGGGTTGGACTAGATGACCTATAAGGTCCCTTCCAACTCTGTTATTGTGTATTCTGTATACTAACATACAGAATAAGTGCATTATTGCAAGTCTGTGTTTTCTAGTGTTCCGACCTTGTCTTTTTCCTGTCAGTATAATTCTGTAGCCTTTGCATTAGCTATGGCAGATATGATTGGAGATATTCTAATGACAGAAATGCAACAGCTTTTTTCCTAATAGTAGCATAACAAGCATTTGAGCTTATATACTTCCCCATATATAGAGAGTCCCGTTTACAGTACTCTAAGGGCAGTTTACAATGTAAACATTATTTGCATATTGCCCCAAACAACCTGGTTCCTAATTTTAAAGACCTCAGAAGGATGGGAGGCTGAGTCAACCTTGAGCCCTGTCAGAATCAAATTCCTGACTGTGGGCAGAGTTTGCCTGCAATACTGCATTTTAACCACAGCACCACCAATGGTTAAAGTGCAGTATTGCAGGCATACTTTGGACTTGTAAACTGGACTCTAATAGAAATCCAAACAGATCTAATGTGATTGATCTTACCTTTTTCCACTCAGTGGAAATAAATACAGGTAATCCTCGACTTACTATCATAATTGGGACCAAAATTTCCATTGATAAGCAAGGAAGTTTTTAAGTGTTTCATGCCCAATTTTACAACTGTTTTGGCACAATTGTTAAAGCAATTGCTTAAGTTGTTAAGTGAGTGATATGATCATTAAGTGTATACAATTTTCCCAGGATGCAGCAACCAGTGTTAAATTGCCAAGCATCTGAATTCTAACCACATAACCGGGGAGATGCTATGACAGTTGTAAGTATGAAGACTGGTCAAAAGTCACTATTTTCTGTGCTGTTGTAATTTTGCACCATTGCTAAAGCAATGGTTGTAAGTGAAGGACTACCTGTAATGAAAAGTGTCTCTGTTAGTTTTCTATTTTGGTGAGTTAAGGTCATTTCTAGTTAATGCACAAATGTGGCAAAATTCCCAGCTCTCAAAAGCAAAAGTTGCATTAATGATTCAACTTCTTTGCTGCACTTCTAATCATCCTCTGGATGAGAGGAAGATACAGTAATTTATTTGTGACTTTGGGGTTCTGAGTGATAAGGAAAAAGTATGAGTCCTTGTTATAGAAACTCAGCTGTATCTCTAAAGTTTGCGTTCTCTGAACACATGCAGAGAGGTGTACATTTCTTAAGATATAGCTTTTTTTATCATAGAGGAATGAAATCAGAGGTGGTATTCAGCAGGTTCTGACCAGCTCTGGAGAACCGGTAGCGGAAATTTTGAGTAGTTTGGAGAACCGGCAAATATCACCTCTGGCCCCACCCCCATCTATTCTCTGCCTCCTGAGTCCCAGCTGATCGGCTGGGTCTTCTTTTGTTGCCCTGCACAGGAGAACGGAGCTGGAAAGCAGGTTAGTGGGGTGGGGAGGGAATGGGATTTTGCAGTAACCTTCCCCCAGGAGTGGGGTGGGAATGGCGATTTTATAGTATCGTTCCCCTGCTATACCTACCAAACCAAACCACACCCACCAAGCCACGCCATGCCCACCAAGCCACGCCCACAGAACCGGTAGTAAATAATTTTGAATCGCACTACTGAGTGAAATGCATGTCTAGTTTGAATGGGTAGGGAAAGTGGAGTTTTCTTTCAGCTGTTGGGATTAGAGAAATACATGTTCTAGAGCAGGGGTCTCAAACTCAAGGCCCATGGGCCAGATCCGATCTGCAACGTGGTCGGATCTGGTCCCACATGGGGCCATCCTGGTCTACCAAATGCAAAGAGGAAAAATTGGGCCAGCATGGTTCCGGCTTAGTCTACCCAGTGCGAAGGGGAAACATGCTAGCAGGGTGGGGAGTGGTGTCAAGCTGGCCGTGCCCACTCAGTTGGCCACACCCACCAGGTCAGCCATGCCCACCTGCCCCTCCCCCAGGTCAATCAAAGCCCTGAAGCGGCCCTCAATGAAATTGAGTTTAACAACACTGTTTTAGAGAAATATATAATACTGATTTAGCACGGAGTGCATGCTTGTGTATTTACATGGTATGGACAATCACAGCCAGGCTTCCATGTTTATATAATATTTGTAAGAAACTGCAGGACTAACTTCGTCTTTAACTAAGGAACATGGTTCCTTAGCTTGTCCAAAGTTTTAACATATGATTTTTGTACCAGAATCTTCCCGGATGCGTTTTTAGAACCCAGGGATATTTGCAGTTTTAAATTGGATGGCAGGGCCTTAGCATGTGTGAGTGAAATGGTTCTGAAGATGGGTCTTCTTGAGAATTTGGGTCACAACCTCCCCTGATGTAGTCGCAAGTTTGGAACTTACTGTTTAGTCTTGAGCTAAGTACAAAAACTAATAATAATGGAAAGACAGTTTGGTCTAGTGATTTTATTAACGCACCAGGAAATTGTGAGTTCTAGTTTGTACCTTAAGCAGTGGTGGTATCCTACCAGTTTGGACCCCAAAAGTCTCCAAGGATGAGCTGAGAGGAGGGAAAAAAGCCTCCGACAATCAGCTGAGAGGAGAAAGAAGAGAAAAGCCCAGGATTGGCCCTCCCGGCCGCCCCTGCACTTTTCTCTTGTTCTTATCCTCTCAGCTGATTGGCGCTGCAGGCCTCAGCTGGTGTGGAGAAAGCTGCGCACACACATTAGGTGTGCGCGCACGAGATCACCCAACCAGTAGTGGGACAGGTAAGATCCCACTGCTGACCTTAAGGCATGAAAGCTCGCTGGGTGGCTATGGGCCAATTATCAGAATACTGAGTTCTTGTCCCGCCTCAGGCACAAAAGCTGGTTGGGTAACCAATCAACAGAAGACAGTGAGTTCTAGTCCCGCCATTGGAATGATAGCCAGCTGGGTGACTTTGGGCCAATCACTCTCTCTCTCAGGTCAACCCACCTCACAGGACTGTTGTGAGAAAAATAAGGGGAGGTGTATTAATTACGTTCATCGCCTTGAGTTATTTATAAAAATAATAAAGGCAGGATTTTAAAAAAATCTTTTAAAGAGATATTCAGATTCACTTACGTTGCACAGCTTAAATGTTGAAAAAGAAGAAAAAAAAAACCAGCCTTCGTCTTTTTAAAACTGTGCTTGGCTGATTAATGTTTTGATACATCGCCAAATCAGAATGGCATTTCCCAGACTGGAAGCGGGCCAGCATACTAGATTTCATATCCCTATTCTTAGAAAACTGCTTGGAGGCTTTAAGGATGACTGTGCAGGCGAGGCCTGGGTTTTATGTATCCAAGTGTGAAGGAAGCATTTCTAGTGAGGGAAACTCAATTGCTATTTAAAAACCTGAGAAAATTCTTCTCCAAAGCCTTTTGGGGTTTTTTTTTTTCCAAAGGGAGTTCTACATTTTGAAGAAAGATATAAAGAAATGGAAGGAAAAGGTCAATTCCCAAAGTTTATTTATTGTTTATTGTAAAAAACAAAACAAGGGAACTTGCAAAAATGGACAGGAGCAAATTGGAAAAGAATGTCTTCTCAAGAACCAACTTGCTTTGATCTATTTCTACCCAATCAATCATGTACTGTGACTTTTAGCTCCCAATCAAGACTTCAGCTTAATTAGATTATCTATATAAATTGAATTCAATAAATAAATAAAATCTACCCAACTTGCCTCTGTTTTCCATTTATGCAGTTCCCTCATCTATGGTAGACTTTCCATTCTCCTCCTCCTCCCCCTCCTCCTCCTCCTCCTCCTCCTGTTTTTCCCGCGGGTCCACGGCCAACAAGCGCCATCTTGTGGGATTAAACTCAGCATCTGGATCCAACTGGGCATTTTTCACGACTACATTTATCTTGCCATCTTGCTTTGGCCTTCCACGCAGGCGCTTGTCATTTATATTAAAACGGAAGGCGGTGTAGGTTACGGTGTGGGGTGCTGCTTGTAGAATTTGGTTTCATCACTGTAGGCTTTTCTCTCATAATTTCTCTGATATTGGCACAGCGGCCATTTGCTTCCAAACTGTTTCATTGCTGATAGTCAAGGAGAGAAACACCTAATGACCAACGAAGCATTCACATCTCCAGGGCTAGTAAAGAGCACTCAACACATTTGGTGATTGGCCAGCACTCAGCACCATCTAGAGCTGCTAGGCACACCTATGTCCATTCCCAAAGCCTCAAAGTCAATGTTTTGTTGCTTCTATCTTCCCATGGGTAGTAGGAAAAATTGCAAGTGTTCAAGCCATCCAACTTATGGCTGTACTTCATCTCTAGATTATTATTATTATTATTATTTTTAAGATGAGCAAAACTCTGCAGAGTTGGCCTTAAAATACCAACTAAATAGGTCTTAATAGTGCTAAAAAAGGCGTGAGTGTTCTTTTTCTATCTGCTTAGGCAGAATACCAAGGGGGTGACATGGCTACAAGTCCTCGTGAGCAGTTGGAACAAAGGGAAGAAGGCCCAGATTTTGTGAAAGAGCTTCTCACCCAGCAGGAAGACATTCACAATCATCTGAAAGAACACAATACAAAAGGTAGGACTGTGTTCAGAGTGTTATTTGAGGTTTGTACTGTTGCTTTATCATGCCTGCTAAGGAAAACTTTACTTCTCAGATGTATTTAGTTATAACAGCACCCCACAGGGTTTTTTTCACGCTAGGTAGTCCTTGACTTAGAATCCCAATTTGGGATCAGACCTTCTGCAAGGTGACCGTTAAGTGACTTGCGCCCAGTGGTGGGATTCAAATAATTTAACAACCAGTTCTCTGCCCTAATGATTTCTTCCAACAACCAGTTTAGCAAACTGCTCAAAAAGTTAACAACCGATTCTCCAAAACTGGTGCAAACTAGCTGAATCTCACCACTGCTTGTGCCTGATTTTATGGTTGTTAAGTGAATTGCTGCTGATATTAAGTGAACCAGGTGGTCGTTAAGCAAATCCAGCTTCTTCCATTGAAGTTTATCGGAAACTTTGTAGGAGGGACTGTCACAGAGATGAAGGGGTCAACTTATTTTCCAAAGTGCCTCAGGGCAGGACAAAAAGTAATGGGTAGAAACTTATTAAAGAGAGCTCCAGCCTAGCACTAAGGAAAAAATGTCCTGACCGCGAGAACAATTCATCAGTGGAATGGCTTGTGGGTGTTCCATCACTGGAGGTTTTAAAGAAGAGATTGGACAGCCATTTGGACAATCCAGAATGATAGGGTCTCCTGCTTGGGTAGCAGATTGGACTAGAAGACCTCCAAAAGCAATAGCAATAGCACTTAGACCAGGGGTCTCCAACCTTAGCAACTTTAAGACTTGTGGACTTCAACTCCCAGAATTCCTCAGCCAGCTTTGCTTCTGGGAGTTGAAGTCTACAAGTCTTAAAGTTTCTAAGGTTGGAGACCCGTGGACTTAGACTTATATACCATTTTATAGTGCTTTACAGCCCTCTCTAAGCAGTTTACATAGTCAGCATATTGCCCCAACAATTTGGATCCTCATTTTACCCACCGCGGAAGGATGGAAGGCTGAGTCAACCTTGAGCCTGGTGAGATTTGAACTGCCAAATTGCAGTCCTACCAATGCTATGATTCTAAGTTCTAAGACAGGGCTCTTCAAACTTGACAGCTTTAAGACTTGTGGACTTCAACTCCCAGAATTCCTCCTCTAGTCATGTGAGCTCAGGAATTCTGGGAGTTGAAGTCCACAAGTCTTAAACATACCAAGTTTGAAAAGCCTTGTTCTAACCTCTCAAAACCCAAGGATAATGTAAATCAATGTGTTATTATGGTGTTCATATAAATATCCCTTTATTGAGAGGGTTCAAAAACACGGCCTCTTCATGCTTGGTGAAGAAACAATTAAAATTGTTCTGAGCTCACAAAGGGAAAGTGAAATATAAATGCAATAACTGAAAACCATGAATAAATGCAGGGATGGGTGTGTTTTAACAGATGCCAAGATACCTACAAATCAAGAAGAAGTGAACGGCAGCACAAACGTAAGTAGCCAAGCGTTGAGGCATGTTTTAAAAGTTGCTTCACAAGACACATCTGTCTCTAGGCCTTGAGGTATCTCTCCAAGTCTTAAAGAGTCTGAACCAGACATGTTTGCTTGCAAATCCTGATATTTGCCTCCAGACTGAATGATTATTACAGCATTTTTGTGATGGGCAACTAACTCTATCTCTCCACCCCACCACCCACCCCCGCAAAAGCTGGGAAATAGTATGGCAGAAAGAGAATTTGATCTCTTGTTGAGACATGGGACTCAGGTAGTATCCTTCCAGCATTTCTGAGCTACCTAGTTTTATTTTGTTTTATTATTTATGTAAATTTCCCATTATTGATTGGTTTTTGCAGCTCTGGATAGCACAAGTCGATCATTTGCATTTGGTTCAGAACCTTCTCCCTAAACTTCTGAAAAAGACAGGAACAATTGTCAGTTGGTCCAAATATTGTTGCCAAGAGAACTCCTAAATTTCCAGGCCAGCTAAGGACAAACAGTCCTGCCGAGCTGAGTGCTGATGGACACATACTGACCAGCTGCAGTCATTTGGCCAAATCATTTGCAACTTTGTCTTTCTTCTTGTACTGGTTGTAAAGATCTTGAAAGGCACTTCTTTGTCTCTTTTTAAAATGTTAACCGGCTGTATCTTTATGAACATTTAAAACATTTCCTAAAGGTTCTTGCCGTAGGACGTTTGGGAGAGAACCCAACTTGTCCAATATTTAGAATAGAATAGAATAATAGAGTTGGAAGGGACCTTGGAGGTCTTCTAGTCCAACCCCCTGCTTAGGCAGAAAACCCTACAACACTTCGGGCAAATGGTTATCCAACATCTTTTTAAAAACTTCCAGTGCTGGAGCATTCACAACTTTTGGAGGCAAGTTGTTCCACTGATTCCTGACAGTTCTGTCAGAAAATTTCTCCTTAGTTCTAAGTTGCTTCTTTCCTTGATTAGTTTCCACCCATTGCTTCTTGACCTGCCCTCTGGTACTTTGGAGAACAGCTTGACTCCCTCTTCTTTGGGGCAGCCCCTGAGATATTGGAAAACTGTTATCACATCACCCCCTAGTCCTTCTTTTCATCAAACTAGCCATACCGAATTCCAGCCATCGTTCTTTTTATGTGTTAGCCCCCTAATCATCTTTGTTGCTCTTCTCTGCACTCTTTCTAGAGTCTCAACATCTTTTTTACACCGTGGCAACCAAAACTTTAAAACTTAAATAGACAGGAAACCTCATGAGCTGCAAAAGTATGCATTTTTTCTTCTTCTACTGCTATAATAAATTAGGTAACAAAGAGCAAACTCACATGGTGTCACTTTTCTTCAAAATGAATAAAAGTTAAGCATTTAGAGTTGAGGTAAACACAGGAATTTAACAGAGTACAACAGTTAGTGTAATAGGAGCTGATGGTAATTTCCTTGACCTGACTTAAAATATTGGACTTGGTGATGGTCACAACACCATACATTTCAATTCTTACACGCTAGCTAGGTAGTCGAAATAGAGGAGAACTCACAGAGCAGAGAATTTTATCAGTGTAGCCAAGGACACTGGAATTCCAGCAAACAGACCCATGAACAAACTCACATAAAAAGAAACTTATTGTCCAACCCATAGAAAACCTATTCCTTGGCTCCTCAAATTTGAAAATACTTAACAAAAACTTGACCTTCTCTCTGAGTCTCTCATGTAAGAGTGCTTTGTTCTGCAATAATAATACGTAGCATTAATAAATGCTATCCTATGTACCCATTAAAGTAAATCTCTTATTGTTTTTCTCATTGAAAGAAATAGTACAGGGATGAGATTTGGAAACAAAAGGGACTCCAAATGCATTCTCAACTATAAGGCTGGTTGGCTCTCTAATTGAGTTCATACAACCAGAAGGTAGTACAAGAAGCAATGGATGGAAGCTAGTCAAGGAGAAAGCCAACCTAGAAATAAAGAGAAATTTCCTGTCGGTGAAAACGATCAGTGGAATGACTAGCCTCCAGAAGTTGTGGATGCTCCATCACTGGAGGTTTTAAGAAGAGATTGGACTACCATTTGCCTGAAATGGTATAGGGCCATGATGGCGAATCTATGGCATGCGTGCCACAAGTGTACACAAGCCGCAGGCAAACTTACCTCATTGCGCATATGCGCACCTCACAGCTGATTTTTTCCAGTTGGTTTGAGGCCTTTTTTGGCCTCCCAGAGGCTTGGAAAAAGCAAGGCTTTTCAGAATGATAGGCCCGTTTTGTTACTTCCTGTAATACCGGAAGTGATGAAACAGGCCTATAATTCAACCCGAAAAGCCTTGCAGAGGCTTTTTCCAAGCCTCTGGGAGGCCGACAAAGGCCTCGAACCAGCTGAAAAATCAGCTGTGAGGCACAGTGCAGGTAAGGGGGATTGCGTGCACATGTGCAGGGGGTGTAGGGAGGGGGGGCACATTGCATTCTGGGTGCTGGCACAGGAGTGTGTGCGTGCTGGTGTGCGTGCAATTTTTGGCACAGAAGCCCAAAAAGATTAGACACCACTGGTATAGGGTTTCTTACTTGAGCAGGGGAGTGGACTAGAAGACCTCCAAGGTCCCTTCTGGCTCTGTTATTCAGTTATTCATATCAACTGCAAGTCAAAATATGATTGTCTAACAATAAAGGAGAACGTTTGTATCTCAGGGTTGAAATGTGGGGTCTCTGAGCTTGCTTGTTTTCTTGCAGAGGTTTCATTACCCTAACTAGATAACATCATCAGTGCTAATCCTGATGATGTTACCTAGTTAGGGTAATGAAATGTCTGCAGGAAAACAAGCAAGCTCAAAGAGCACCCAGGACCCCTTATTATTGTCTAGCTTATGATTCAGTAAGATGTGCAATCTCAGCCACTCTATGGTTCGTTTATAGTTCAGTAGGTGGAGTTGATCGGGATTTATCCAAAACCTGAGGTAATAAGTATTGTGATACACACTTATTTTGTGAAGGAGTCTGAGGAGCTATGGCAGGGGTGTCAAACTCAATATCACTGAGGGCCGCATCTGGGTTGCGTTTGACCCAGTGGTGGGATTCAAATAATTTAACAACCGGTTCTTTACCCTAATGATTTATTTCAACAACCAGTTCACAAAACTGCTCAGAAACCGGTTCTTCCGAAGTGGTAAGAACTGGCTGAATCCCACCACTGGTTTGATCTCAATGTGTGTTGTGTGTGTGTAGTCAGGATGGGCATGGCTCAAGCACTCTGCCAGCAAAAATGGGCTTCCGAGCTGCGTTTTTGGCAGCAACAGACTCCTGCAACCCTTTGCCAGCAAAAATGCAGTTCGTAAGGGCTGCGCGGGGCCCTCCTGAGCTCTATTTTAGTTGGCAAAGGCACCACAGGCTGGTCGCTGTTTCCAGGGTTGCCCCGCAGGCCAGATCTAAGCACCCTGCGGCCTGGATCTGGCCCCCAGACCTTGAGTTTGACACCCTTAAGCTATGGGAAGAGATAAGAGACGATGAAAATGGAAATAGTCCCATAATTTCAAAATGGAAAAAAAAATCCAACTGGCCTTCAAAACAAATTATTACGATAGACAGAGGGAAGGTAGAAGGGTATATACAACAACTGAAGGTAGATTTCCAATCCTGGGTAGAAACAGGTTTCATCAAATATGTTTAGAAGTTTTTTAAAAAGAATAGGAAAATATGGGATGTTTTTAAAGAGATCAAATAAATTATAAGAACATTTCCAGTTCGGTCAGGGCTGCTCTAAACTAGTAGATCATCGTCATCATTCTCTTTCAGGGCCTGCAGGAGGAACAGAAAGGCACACTCCACATTGTTGAGAAAGATCTCGATGAATTTGTGGATAGCATGAGCGAAGCCACAACATCTGGGCTTCCTAAGAAATCACTCGAAGCAGAGAAGCATCTGTTGACCGAAATGGCCACTAAATTGCCTCGGGCCGAGCAAGTTGCAGCAAAAGTCCTGAGGGCTGAAAGGGTGGTTGAGAGAGCCCAACGGGTAGAAAAACCACCCATATTGGAAAAGGCGGCGGAGAAAGTGCCAAGGGTCGAAAAGGCACCGCAAGCCGAGAAACCACACCTAACAGGTATGACTTTTCTTTGAGACAATAAAGCATTATGTTGGAGATGCCATAGAGATGCCAAGGGCAAGAGAGGAAGTGCATCTTTAACCCTTGTAGGGTGGGACTTCTATCTCCAGGGATTTTTTGGTTTAGAGCAGTTTTTCCAGATCTGGACAACTTTGCAGGCACGGAGGAAACTCCCAGAATTCTCAGCAATTTTTATCGCAGGCAGGAATTCTAGGAATTGAAGTCTAAAGAGTTGCAGGAGGCTTTACTTAGGAAGATTGATTTGTAAGAGACAATTTGTAGGAGCAAAGGTGAGTACCGATGATAGAAGGTTTATAAAATGATGTATTCAACTTGAAGAGCTGAAACCAGAGCTGAAGAAGCTTCTTGGATGAGAAGCAAAACTTCTTCAAAGAAAAAAACAGAAAGTCTGGTTGCCTCTTGCAAAAGCACCTTTGGAACTCCAAGTTCCTTATAGCTCTGTTATTCTGAATTCTGTTTTTTTCATTGATCCAAAGAAACATGGCTGCCATTACACGCTGCATGTGGGCTTCTCCAAAGCTATGGACATACAAAAATGGGAATATGGCTTGAACTTTTTAATTATTATTATTATTATTAAAAACTTTTAATATAAAATACAAATAAAAGAGGGAAATAGGAGGGAGGAAAAAAGTTAAAGAAGTGCAAGGAAAAGAGAAAAGAAGAAAAAAAGAGTAGGGATTTCCCATATTTTTCAGTGCCATTTAATACAAAACACGGTTACAACTTCATCTTTTTTCTTAACATATTTAATAAATACTAGCCTTTTCTATAACAATAAACTAATCTAATCATCAAAACCCAAAATAATGGGGTTTTTTTTCTTCTCTTTCAAGCATAGAGTCCGGAAGTAGTTTCCAAGCAGAAACCAAGCTGGGTACATTCTTTTCTTTAATTAGAGTAGTTAATTTTGCCTGCTCTGTCCGCTCCATTACTTTTTCCATTGGTTCTCCCATTGTGGGAATTGATGAATCTTTCCATAGCTCTGGACTGAATTCCAATCCAGTGTTTATTGCAAAGATCACCTTCAAAACACTCAGGAATTGGTGGCAAAAGGCTTTATGGTGGGAGAGCCAAGCTGCTGTGCTAATGCCCTCCCTTTTCTCTGCTTGAAGCACCCAAGTTTGTCTCTGTGAAGCGAAAAACAGAAAGCCGAGCTGCTAAGGACACGCTGCCTTGGGAAAATCTGTCTTTGAACAAATGCATTCTGGTGGCAACTTTCCTGGCTCTCCTCAGTGTGAGCTGTCAGGTGGTTCAAGGTAAGAGAGCAGCACACTTTCTCCTGGATCAAACAAAGCCACACACACACACCCCTTCACACCTCTTCTAGCTGCTGCCTCCATTGGAGATCTTGTCTTAGAGCAGGGACAGGGGTGGGCTTCAAAAATTTTAGCAACAGGTTTTTGCCCGTTTGCTGGATGGGCGCAGCCATGGTGGACGTGGCTTAGTCAGCCTCCTGCACAGGGGTGGGATTCTACCAGTTCACACCTATTCGCTAGAACCGGTTGTTAACATTCTAAACAGTTCGGAGAACCAGTTGTTAGATGAAATTCCTGGCCTAATCCTGTAAGGAAGGCAGGAAGGAAACATTCTGGTGTTGCTTACAGAAACTGCCTCCCCGTTAACCCTTATTACATTCTTGGCAGGACTAGACTTCCTGTCTCAGGAACGTCTCTGGAGTTTTTTCCCCCTCCTTTGCTGGTACTTTGCTTGTGTGGAGTGACCATTCAAAGTTACAATAGCACTGAAAAAAGTGACTTATGACCATTTTTCACACTTATGACTGTTGCAGCATCCCCACAGTCATGAGAGGCCAGGCGAGGAGATGGTGCCTTTGATGTGAGTGATATTGAGTTGGCCACACTCAGCCAGTCACATGACCATCAAGCACGCCTACCAACTTAGCCACGCCCACAGAACCAGTTGTTAAAAAATTTGAATCCCACCCCTGCTCCTGCACCATGGTATGGGGAGGTTGTTGCCCTTCCTGGGCTCCGGAGGCTTTCCTTGAGCCTCTGGGAGGGCAAAAACTGCCTCCCAGGGGTCTGAAGGCTCTTGAGAAGCTGGAAACAGGCCCATTTCTGGCCTTCCCGAACTTCCAGGAGGCCCGTTTTTCACCATCCCCAAGCCTCCATGCGCGCCCTGTACTTACCTTCATCCCAAACGGGCCATGTGTGGACTCCTGGGAATTTGTCTTGGTGCAAATGCTCTCAGTGTACATAAAGGAAAAGATACATTTGTCAAGAGTCAAGAATCATCAGGTACATCACTTAATGATAGTCACAGGGTACAAATAAGCAATCAAATCATACTAGGAAACAGTCAATATAAACCCTAAGGATACAAGCGACAAAGTTACAGTCACACAGTCACAAGTGGGAGGGGATGGGTGATAAGGAGTGATGAGAGGATTAATAGTAATAGTTGTGCAGACTTTGTAACAGTTGAATAGTTGAATAGTTAACACTCAATTAATATATGCGGAACACCAAGTTCCTATTTTTCCTCAGCACCCTGAATTCCCTTCACTTGCCAAATAATCATGAAACTCAAAACAATGAGACTTGGATCAAACATCTGGGGCCCTATTGAGCCGAATGGGGAAGCAACTTTGGGTTTTAAAAACATTTGGAGAGGGAGATACAGAGGAGGGAAGTGTCAAATACTTTTTTCTATTAGCAGTTCCATCTAGTGGGGTAAGGCATCAGGCTAAAAAGCAGGAGACCATGAGTTCAAGCCCCAACTGAGCCATAAAAGCCAGCAGCGTGACTTTGGGCTGGTCATTCTCTCTCAGCCCAACTCACCTCAGAGGGTTGTTGTTTTGAGGAAAATTGGAGGATAAAAATGGGGTGGATATTTGTATCGAGTTATTTGTAATAATAAGAGTGAGAAATAAAAATACAATAATAAATACTTTTTTCTAAGGTTTCTTATAATTTGAACTTTTCTTTGGGTACAGCATCGCAATAAAGATAAAAGTTGGTTGACTATAATTCCAACATTTAAAATTATTAGGCTACCCCGCCGCCACTAAGTCTTTGGATCTTCCAGAGTTCCATCGTCAAGGTATGGGATACCCAGAAATGGTATTCAGCAGGTTCTGACCAGTTCTGGAGAACCGGTAGCGGAAATTTTGAGTAGTTCGGAGAACCGGCAAATTCCACCTCTGATTGGAGATTTTATAGTATCCTTCCCCTGCCACGCCCACAGAACCTGCAGTAAAAAAAATTGAATCCTACCACTGGGGATACCCTTCCACACTGCATCTTGACCATGTAGGAGGCAGTTTGGCCTAGTGGTTAAAGCGCCAGGCTATAGACCAGGAGACTATGAGTTCTAGTCTGCCTTAGGTATGAAAGTGGGTCATTCATTTTCTCCCCACCTGACAGGGTTGTCGTTGTGGGGAGAATAGGAGGAGGAAGGAGTTTGAGGTATGCTTGCTGCCTTATTTGTAAAAGTAATCAAAGCAGGATGAAAGCAAGCACAGAAATATATGCAGAAAAATTTTTATTTGAATACAGGAGCTTGTTCACCATCCCATCTCTTTTACAGAGGTAGTAGAATATGGCGGGGCTGTTCTTGAGGCCGAGCTGAGCGCCTGGACCACACAAGGAGACAGTCCTGGGGAACAGGTGAGTGAAAAGTGGGAAGATCAAAATGGTTCGCAGTAAAACTCTTTTCATCAGAGGGCAAAAAAAACCCCACCTACTTTAAAAAGTTAACCGTCCAGTTTAAATACCACTGGAATTGCTTAAGGGGCACCCAGTTCTCCTGGATCAAGAGAATTGGGTGTTCATTCTTTGTTCAGCTGTTTTGTGATGGGGAGTCTTTGCTTAACTTCCCGCCCCCCCCGTCCCTCTTATTTTCCTCATATCCTTCAGAGGCATAGATAGTCCTGAGAATGCTGCTATCATGTCTCCCCTAGTCTTTCTTTTCAATAAACTAGACTAAAATGTCTCCAGGAGTATTCAAAGAGCATGTGGAAGAGTCCTGTTCTATGGCCCTTAAGATTAAACTATCCCAGGCCAGGACTTTGGAAGCCACCGTTTCATTATGAAGAACCGTTGAATCTTTCTGTCTTTCCAGGAGCAGCTGTGGTTTTACGAACGGTGGTTTGATTGGTCGGACATGGATGAACCTCCTGAAATAGAGGAGGAGGAACTCCTGGAAGTAGAGGAGGAACTTTTAGAAGTTGAGGAAGAAGAAAAAGAGGAGGAGGAGGAGCCTTTGGAGGGTGGAGAAGATGGAGAAGAAGAGCCAGAGCCAGTAGAAATCGAAGAGGAAGAGGAAGAAGAAGAGGAAGAGGAAGAATCAGAGGAAAAACCAGTCCCAAAAGTGGGCCTCAGGAAAATCCAGGAGAAAATCAAACGAGAAACGCCTTCCAAGAATAAAAGCCGGAAAGACCGCAAAGCTCAGGAGGACGATGAAGAGAAGCAGCAGCTTCGGGATAAGAGACATCGCTGGGAAGGGAAGGGGAAGGAGAAGCAGGAGGAGGAGAGGAAGAAGACCCACCGCCACAAACATGGTGAAACAGCCCATCCACTGAAAGAGCGTAAGGAAGAGCATCCCTCACTGGATAAAAGAAGGGGGCACCCCAAGGATGAGCACGGCAAGGGGAGAGGCCGCCTCAAGCACGAGAAGGACACCAAGGACAGAAAGCCCTGGCAGGTTCAGAAGCCCCTCTTCCCACCACCCAAGGACAGTGCCAAGACTTTGGGGCGGCCCAAATCTCAGGAGTGGAAAAGGCACGACTGAGATTTAAGGACTGCTGATTTTTGAGGTCACTGCGGCAAGGGATATGCGTCTTCCTCTCGCTCTCACTCTCTCCTGCGCCTCCTTTCCCTGAAAGTGTGGGGGGACACAAAAAGACACCCAGATTTGAAGCTGGGTAGCTCCCGTTGAGACTGGTCCCCGAAAGGCACGTTTGGCTTCTCCCGGGTTGGAAGCGAGAGGTGCCTTTTCTATGCCTTCCTAGGATCCTTTGGTAGCGGTGGCACCGGCAACCCCAAATTCTCAGGAGGGGAACAGGAGTCACTTAGCAGATCAGCCTTACCTGCTCCACCGCTCCCTCAGAGTCATTAAGGTAAAAGTAAAGATTCCCCGGCTTTAGGGGACGGTGCTCATCTCTGTTACAAAGCCAAAGAGCCAGCACTGCCTGAAGACATTTCTGTGGTCATGTGGCTGGCATGACTAAATGCTGAAGGCGCACGGAACGGTGTTACCTTCCCGCTAAAGTGGTCCCTATTTTTCTACTTGCATTTTTACATGCTTTACATTTTACATGCTAGGTTGGCAGAAGCTGGGACAGGGAACGGGAGCTCACTCCATTATGCAGTGCTAGGGATTCAAACCGCTGAACTGCTGATCTTCCTGATCGACAAGCTCAGAGTCTTAGCCGCTGAGCCACCGCGTCCACCGCGTCCCCCAGAGTCATTGGAGAACCTCAAAAAAAAGCACTTCCTTCCTTCCTGTGTCCTTTACCTGCCCAGTTATCTCCAAATGAAGTGCCAATCTTGATTTCATAACAGAGGAAGCCTTAAACCTTTGTACGGACCTCAGTCCTTGACTCGAGAGAGCCTCACACTCACACACACCCAAGGGGGTGTTATTGCCCAAACCCTTATTATACAGAGATTTGCAGCAGGAATGTGTGAACTGCCTCTCTTGTACACAATTGCGTGTTTTCTTTTCTTTTCTTGAGTTGATACCAAAGCTGTATGTTTAAAACTGGAATTCTTCATTCAGAAGTGTAGCAAAAAAAGTCTGTATGCTGGAATGGACCTTAGATGTTTTTAGCAACTCCCATACCTCGATTGATAGATATCTCAACTTTATTTTATTTTTTGGTCACTTTTCAAGAGAAAAGCAAGACCGCTCCTCAGAGTTTGCTTCTTTCCTATTTTGTGGGAAAAGTGGATTTTTTTCCCCCTGTGTTGCACAAAATGAAGCCTATCAATGTGAAGCGAAACCAGCTCTGATTCTCTTTACGATATAAACGTTACTACAGATAAATCGTTTCAAGTACTCAGCCAGTTTGAGGAAAAATCATAATAGTTTCAGAAATAAATGTCGGCTGTGAACTTCTTAAATATTTTCATTTTTTAATATAAGGAATAGAATCCACAGACCAGTAGTGGGATCCTACCGTAGTCACTGCTGGTTCAGTGGGTTTGTGCATGTGTGTGTGTGTGTGCACGTCCCTGACGCGCGCTCCTCTAACAAACCAGTCAGCTGAGAGGATGAAGAAACAAAAAGCTAGGAGCGACCCTCCCATGTGCTTTTCGGTCTTTTATCCTCTCAGCTGAGGCTCTTTGTTCCTCCTCTCAGCTGATCGGAGCCTTTTTAAAAAAATTTTATACTACCAGTTCAGTTGAACCAGTCCGAACCGGTAGCATACCACCACTACCTCAGACCATCATACAGTCTTTGGTGTTCCAAGGTGCTTGGGCTATTATTTTGGCTTTTTGAACTGTAAAAAGCAGCTTTTATGTGAACTGAAACACTTTGTCCAAGAAAATCTGCATTTCTTCTATCTATCTATCTGTGATGACCCGCAGTGTCTCAAAAATAACAAAAAACTAAAACAGGAATCAAAGTCTTGCAATGCCTTCAACTTAGCTTCGCTGTTTTATTAGTCACAGTTTAAATTCAGAAAGTAGATAATGAAGCAAAAGGAAACCAGAAACAAATTGTATTGACGAGAGTTCCAAGGCAAACCAAGATAATTAATCACACGTTCCAGGAAGATAACCGGGGAGAGTCCATGGGAAGAACGCCAACAAAGATGATCCAAGGAAAGCACTAATTTGACTTCAGCGTCTGTGAACACGCAGTTCCAAACTCTTACACAGAGCTCACAGCTGCAACCCATGAGGAGGATCATGGCCCTCTCCTCCCAAGTAGACTACGCTTTTCCCTGATCCTCTCCTCCCTGCGTGCCCTAGGATGGATACGGGATGGGCCTGGGTCCTCCTCTGACTGCTCAGCCAGCCTCTGCCCTTCCCCAGCCTCCTCCACCACCTCTGAAGCCACATTTCTACTCCCTGTTGGCTGTTCCTCCTTTTCCTCCAACAGGGGCATGACTATCTATCTATCTATCTATCTATCTATCTATCTATCTATCTATCATCTATATCTATCTATCTATCTATCATTATCTATCTATCTATCTATCTATCTATCTATCTATCTGTATCTATCTATCATCTATCTATCATCATCTATATCACTATCACTTTCACTATCACTATCACTATAACTAACTATATCTACCTATCATCTATCTATATATCTATCTATACACACACACACACACATGTGTTACACTAATATCAAAGAAATGGTGGAATGGAATTGGCTATATTGAGTTGTGCCGCATCAAGTTGGCCAGGGTGAGTTGGCCGGAGTGAGGCAACCACGGTAGAATGGCTGTGGTGAATTGTCCCATTCTGGAACTAGGGAGGTTCAATTCTGAGATTAGGGAAGTAATTACTGAGATGTTTTTCCACACATACATACACACACACACTGATTCCTGCTTTGTACTCAAGATTTTGTTTATTAGACCGTTTTCTAAGCTGTGACTCTCCCTGTGACAACCCTGAATGTGGCTGTAGCAATTTTTCCAACCCTGGCAACTTTCAGATATGTGGACTTCAATTTCCAGAATTCCACATACCTGAAAGTTGTAAAGTTGAGAAACACTAGGTTACAGCAAAAGTGATGGTGCTAGCTAGTAAAGTACATCTAATAAAAATTAACATCACAAGCCATTTTTCAAAAGATATATAAAAGAAATATATATGGCAGTGAACCAGAGGTGGTATTCAGCAGGTTCTGACTAGTTCTGCAGAACCGGTAGTGGAAATTTTGAATATTTTGGAGAACCGGCAAATACCACTTCTGACTGGCCCCGCCTCCATCTATTCTCTGCCTCCCAAGTCGCAGCTGATCGGCTGGGTCTCCTTTTGTTGCCCTGCACAGGAGAACAGAGCTGGAAAGTGGGTTAGTGGGGTGGGGAAGGAATGGGATTTTGCAGTAATCTTCCCGCAGGTGTGGGGTGGGAATGGAGATTTTAGAGTATCCTTTCCCTTCTATGCCCACCAAGCCATGCCAACCAAGCTACACCCATCAAGCCACACCACACCCACCAAGTTACGCCCATAAAACCAGTAGTAAAAGTTTTTGAATCTCACCACTGCAGTGAACTCAAATTTCAACCACCAAAAATGTTAAATATAGTTTGAAATGAGACAAATTATTAAACTTTATTTCTGTCAAGCAGAGGAAAATCAGGAAGTTGAGGCAGTTCAAATGAATATAAAGATTTATTGCAAGCTTAGGCTCTCTACAAGAATCTGAACCACTAACAGCTAAAGCCAATTGGTGGTAGATTAGTCAATGGAATTCAAGGTGGGCTGGAGTTAGATCTCTTGGGGGCACAAAGGGACTTGAGACTGATGACATGTTTGACCCCTCCCTCGGGGTCAGTCTGGTCATTTCCTACAATTTCTTTATTAAGGCAGCTTTGTTGTGACCCTTTCAAAGCCCATTCAGTTCACTGGACAATACTACACATAGCATCATCAAATAGAATACATGACTCTCTCAAATATTTTCATTGCAGCAGAGAAATATAATAACAGCGTAAGAAAACAACAGAAAAATACAGAAACCTGTTGCAAACATAATTAAGAAATACCAGCTAGCATTACAAGCAGCTAGATATAAATACCAGCGAACAGTAGTTTGGAATAAATAAATCTTCAAGGCTTCTTTTGAAAGGCATCAAAGGAGGAGCTATGCAGGTCCAAGGTAGGAAAGTTCTCCAAGATCTGTGGTCTTATCTTGTGTCGAATAAGATACATTAGAAAATTTGTTGGGTAAAACATTCGGGTATTAAGAGCATGTCTGGATAAGCTTCCCAATGTATAAAGAGGGTGAGAAGACGAGTAAGATTTCAATCTCCCTAACATATAATTGTGCCACTCCAGAATAATATGGGTGAATAGTAGCTATTGCTGAAAATGCAACTCTAAAAAGCACAGATAGTTATTGACTTACAGCCATTTGTTTTAGTGGCCATTTGAAGTTGCAACAGCACTGAAAAAAAGTGACTTACGACCATTTTCCACACCTTTCCAGCATCCCCACGGTCACGTGATCAAAATTTGGATGCTTGGCAATTGGCATGTACTTATGATGGTTGCAGTGTCCCAGGGGTCATGTGATCACCTTTTGTGACCTCTGACAAGCAAAGTCAAGGGGAAAGCTAGATTCACTTAACAACAGTGTCACTAATTTAACAGCTGCAGTGATTCACTTAACAACTGTGGCAAGAAAGTAAAATGGGGCAAAACTCAACTGTCTTGCTTAGCAACAAGACGTTTGGGCTCAATTTGGGTCATAACTGGAGGACTATCTTTACCAGCCTTTCACATTTTATCTTCTTGATCACTAAAGGTATTAACTCTTTGTTAGCTCTTTGTTCCTCTCATTGTCTCAATCCTCTATTTCTCTAATTGGGGCACTGTTCTACACAGCTGACTTCCTAAAGGAAGAGTACAGGTAGTCCTCACTTAGAGATAGCAGTCTTCCAATATCTGAGGGGCTGCCACAGAGAGAAAGGGGTCAAGCTATTTTCAAAGGCACCTGAAGGCCAGACAAGAAGCAATGGGTGGAAACTGAATAAGGAAAAATTCACCTAGAAATAAAGAGAAACTTTCTGACAGTGAGAAATAATCAACCAATGGAACAGAAGTTGCCTTTGGAAGTTGTGGGAGCTACATCATTGGAGGCTTTCAAGAAGAAACTGGACTGCCATTTGTCAGAAATGGTGTAAGGTCTGCTTGGGTGGCAGGTTGGACTAGATGACCCACAAGGTCCCTTCCAACTCTGTTAATCTGTAAAAATTCTCATCTTTGCTCATTAGGGTTCTCTGCAAATAAACTGGATGTTTCCAACTTTCCCAAGCATCATAAAAAGCAAGAACAATGTTGCAAGCTTGCTATGTACACAGCTGCATAAATTTCATCAATAGAAGTGGGATTACCGTAGTGCTGTGGTTTAAAACGGTACCCCATACTGGCCAGGACAGCAGGACACTGTCCAATATCCCATCCCCCATCAGGTCTCTCCCGCCCTTTTCTACCTGCACCCGCAGGACTCCGCCACCATATCTGGGTAGGCCTTAACTATCATCCCTTGATCACTGGTAAAAGTAACCATGAGACTTTTGGAATATTTCACCGGGACGCAGCAAGGGGCTCGCTGGAGTGGCATGCCCTGTTCGTGCATGCGCAGCAGGAAGATGGTGTGGGAATAGTAGTCTGGGATGCGGGTGGAGAGCGGGCTCTGGCACGGGCCCACGCAATTGTTGGCATTGTATGACTCCGGTAAAATGATGTACCTGGTGGAGACCAGGTTTATCCTGAGCTCCCGCAGGCGGCAGTAGTCATCCTGGACTTGGGTGCTACGGTTGGCACGTAACGACACCTTCCTGGCCTCTCGCCAACGAGTGCGCACCACCTGGAGAGCCTTGAGCAACAGAAGGCTGTGGATTTTTCTGCGGGTTTGGGTTTCCTCCATTTCTGCAGAATCGCCAGCGGGAAAATTTCCGGAGCCCCTCGGAGGATAGTAGCACAGAGCCAGCAGAGTATGGAAGAGGTTGGCGTTGGCTTGGAAGGAGGGCATGGCTATGAGCTCTTGGATCACAGAATGCAGCTTCTCCAACAGCTGCTGAAGCAACTTTCCCTCCAGGTACCATTGGCCGAGCTGGCGCTCCATGAAAGCTTGGCTGTTCTCGGGGAAAAGGACCACGAGGTGATTTTCAGACTGCACCAGCCGCTCGAAAGCCACTTTCTCTGACAAGTTGAGCAGTTCGTGAGGAAGGGCCTCCATGGTGTCAAAATCCAGCTGGAGGTGGCCCTGGGCGACAGGTGGCTCGCCGGAGGGGTTCAGGACTTTGTTGACAAATTGGGAGAGGATCTCCAAAAAGTATCCAGGGTTTGTAAGCATTGACACGGTGGCGTTGGTTTGGTTAGTGACGGTGGCAGCTTCAGAGGGTGTGTGGGCTATGGCGGAACTCAGC